CTGAAGTAACTGCAGCTCCCACTGCATTTACCATCGGCTCTGTAACAGCAACTCCTGCAATGATAAAAACTGCAGACAGAGTAGGAAATGCTTGTTTTCTTCCAAGCCACTGGAAAGGTAAAGGAGAGATAGTGTATGTGTCTCAGTGTTTAATTTTTCCATACTGTACAGCTTGAAGAAAAATCCCATGGGGGTTTATACACTGAGTTCATTTTTTTGYCAAGGAAGTTCATTACTCAAGTTGGCCTCCTATTAAGTAAAGATGGTCTTTCTGCCTCCTGCTTTTTTTTACAGTGATTTAGGAAAACCATTTGCAAATTACAACTTGTTAATGTGGGTGACCCCATGTGAGCTACAGAGAGGAAATRTCTGGCTGACCTAAATTGCTCACTTAGGACAAATGGCATTTTTTTTCCCAACAGCAGTGAATAAATGGGCATAGCTGCCAAGCTGTCATAACATAAGCTGTGGTTCCTGGCTCTAAATGCTCTGTGTCATGACAAGGTCTATTCAACTGCTGAAGATTTGCTCTGAAAGAGGAATTTATTTTTTTTCTAACCTCCTGTTTGTTATGTGGATATGTTTAGCTCTAATGCTTCTGAGATGCTGTCTTTCCATAAAAACCCAAACAGGCTTATGTCACGTTTCAAAGGAATAAACTCATGGCCTCAGTGCCCTTGGAGGAAGAAGTCTTGCTGTTCCTGAAAGCATTGGTAATTAGCTGTTCCTCACCAGACTCTCTCTGAAAGATAACAAAGATATTTGCTGTTGGGCAGCCTAACTGCTGCCCAGATCTTCCTGCCAGACTTCAGAACTGCTGTGCCCTCTTGGCAGAGGCCTGGCTGCTCTACAGTGACTTCASAACTGCAGTGCCAGGCTCCTTCCTTTTTTTATCCACCCTAAAAAAGACATACAGGCATTGTCCCTGCTAAAGGCTGGAGAAAGAGAGGTCTCCAGTAGTGCTGCAAGAATGTCCACTCTTCTGAATCTCAATATTTATTCTCCTCCAGGCCTCAAGAGACTGTTCACATGTCAATTCCATCAGATTCAGAGTGCTGATTTTCTCTGTTCTTGATCTGTAGGCTGAGAGCTGCTTTCTGACATAATTGTGTGTTCTCACTGCATTATCCACCTTCRTTGTAAAATTATATTAAATATAGGCTAGAGCTGGGCTAGTAGGCAGCCTAGAAATTACACTTTCATTGTGGTCAGTGCAATGACTGTAAATCTTAGCTTATTCTGAAATAATAGTAATTTAGAAACATAAAAAATACAGGAYAATGTTTGCACAGGTTTAAAACACACCTACAGAACAGATGTTTTAAAGAGTCCTCCTGCTACCTGTCTTGAATTCTCTGGGATAAGACAGTTGTTGAATTGTCTTTGAAATAAGACAAAAGCAGCAAGTATCTACAGAGTACATTGTAAATTCTGATGTTTATCCTAAATTCACRTTGCCTGTGCTTGTTCCCTCTCCTTCGTGACATATTCAGTATGGAAGTTATACTGTTCCTTTGATCCTATGACAGATTATTAAGAAATTATCATCTGCTTGTGTTTCATTACAGCTCAGCCTGATAACTACACAGAACAAAAAAGCTGTTTCCCTGAAGGATCTGGAAAGTATTTAAACACATGCTTTTATCATTCACCATGTTGGGAGTTAAGAGGATTGCTGGAGAAACTTCWTATTGGAGCACTACAGCCAAATAGACAGCAAAGCTTGTAAAACTTAAATTCTGGTTTATTCCAGTAAGAAAGGGAGTGGATAAAAACCCTGTCTCTGTATGCACAATAAAGACTGGAAGAAGACTGCAAAATGTTGTCGTTAAGTCCTTTAATGTGGCAGATTAAAAAATCTGGCACAATGCTGGGGCACATTCATGGTTTTTTGGGTCTAAAATCCACCAGCTCCAACTGTGACAAGGTTGTGTATAGGGAGAGGTAACCCTTGTACTGCAATTCATCTCAGCTTTGCTCACGTGCAGTTGATACCTTCAATTTGTCTTTATAGTGCAGTAGTTATTCCTTTATGAATTGCAGTAAGACTCATTACATCGTGGATGCCAAATAGTTGCTGCATTTGACAGTCACTGTTTGAGCTGCAAGATGTCTCCATTGCCTTCCAGTTCAAAGAATTCAGTTCCATTTGGTCTGGTGCCCCTAGAATGCAGGTAATAATGAAAGATCTCGTTTGGACAAATAAACCCATGTGTCCATGGCAGTGGATCTTCACCATATTTTGCATTTTAGAGGACAGAGCTGGGCTGATCCCCTGGTGGAAGCAAGACTTTGTGCTGCCTCCTGCAATYTTGGCTGTTCAGGTAGAGCCTGCAAGATGGATGCACCCTCAGGAACAATTCCCGCTTGCTGCAGGGAAAGCCACTCAGTCATACACACCACAGCTTTTTCCATTTGATAGATGCCTGTATCCACTGCACTCTCTAAATCTCAGTTTTGCTTAAACGATGTGGAAGATCCTCCAAACCAACATGGATACATTTTCCAGAAGCTCCAGGTGTCTGTTGGGGTGAGATTTTCATCAATTTTCAGCCCTGTGTGTGATACAGAGGCAGGCAAGTAGCAGGCCCCTTGTTYCCATTTGCATAATGCACAGCTGAGATGATGACAGGCCACCTGGAAGATTTTGTGTGAGCTATTAATCCCCTTCCCTCCTCCAAGGCAGCCTCTGGCTGTGCACTGAAACCTGGCTGCAAGGGGCAGGCACTTCCCAGGATTTGTGTGTTTGTTCCTGGAGGCACAGAAGGGCCCCTGCCTGCATCCCTGCTAATTATGTGCATATTCATTTCACCTTGGGGGGCAGCTCCTGCRTGGTGGTGGCTGTTTGCCAGAGCAGGAACTGCAGGGATGACACAAGCACYTCGTGCTGAAGGGAAGGGACAGGAGAGCAATTCCACACAGGAAAGGAAAAGGTTTCCTTCTTCCCCAATGGAACCACCACCAGGAACGTGGGCACGTGGAGCTTATTATATTCCCTGGGGTGTCTAGAGGAGGCTGCTCCCAAATTGGACTTTGAGAGGAAAGGCAATTTGCTGAAGCAATTAAAACTTTAAGAAGTTTTGCTCCATCCCTTATGATGCCAGATTGTTTCATGGCATGGAGCTTTTCAGTCCACTGTGCTAGTTGTCTTCCGTTTGTTTCTAGCTGTGTATTTCTTGTCCCTCTTTCAGTGAAATGTTTTTGTTTCTCCTCCACTGCCAGGTCTGGAGTGGTTTAAAGATTCCCTGTTTAAAGATTCCCTTGTAAAATTAGTTAAACTTTACTCTTGATCATGGCTATTTAGGAAACATTTCTARGTGGAACAGTTCCTCCCATTCAACAGGTGAGATTTCATTTCAGGTCTTCCCCAGAGTCCTGCCCCTTGTGGCACAGGCCAGATGGTGAAAGATCTACCACTGCTGTTTTTCCAGATGGATTGCTAGGTGTGTGCTKTCACAGCCCTGTGCTTTTCTTGCTCTGCACCCAGCTCATTCCTGTATTTCTGCAGCTGCARTTTAGAGGAACCCTCATCTAGAAATCCTGCTATCGAAGCAAATGTTGTAGTAATGTTTGACCCCAGCCAGTTCAGAGTGTGAACAAACTTTCAGCTTAATTATCCCAAAGATCCACAGATTCAAACCTCATGCTCCTTTTCCAATGGAACACTCATGGAGATGATGGACTTTGCAGGGATACTCTCTACAAATGTAAATATTTTAARGTAAGCAAAATCTCTTTGAGGACCTTAAGGCAAAATCCACACACTGTTCTCTTGATGGGATGGGCACAGCTGTTCAGTAACAAGCAATCCTAAAAGAAATTTTTTAATTCACAAAACCTTGCAGCTGCAGTGGACACTGCGATACCTGCTCTAACCCAAATCAAGTGCATGTTTTAACCGTGAGATTGCAGTGAAGTGTTTTTGTAAGAATCTAAACACAAATAGTGGAAGGTCTAAAACCACTGCTGGCAAGGGTACTGCAAAAATGTACAGCATTTATTCACATACAGACAAAAGGCACAATTCTACGGAATATTTTAACAAAAAATACAGCTGTTTCAACTAGGTCTTTAGAAATACTTCAAAAAAGGGAGAAAATAAATACAGGATTGGGCCATGTAATATAAAATAGTCATCTCTACATATAGTTTTTATTTCTGTTTCTCTTCATGCACCTTTTTTTAATTTCAGCTGAATGGACACCAAAGCTAGGCACATAGTGAAAAATCTGTACAAGTTTTACAAATGTCATCACAATTGTCTCAGATTTCYGAAATCAAGGTTTATACACAACATGAACCCTTCATTTAGATCTGTGTGAGTTTGTAACCTAACAAATGGCATTCCAGGCAACTTCACAGACGTTCAACTAGCCTACAGTTGGACAACACACCGATCATATCAAAGATCTCTTGGTCAGTCAGCACAAGGAAAGGTAACGCTTAGGAACAGAAATCCAGCAAATCCCATTAAACAGGGGTGGGTTTGTCACTGCAGTACCTGCAGCACCTCCTGCTGAGCGCTAAGCACAGAGACAGAATCCTACAGAGCTGGTCGTACCACAGCTGGCTTTGGTTTGGGTTCAACTTGGCTGGAAACCTCACCAAGCCTTTTAGCCTCTATGCCAGGCATTCACTGCACAACATCAGTGTTCATCATAGTGCAAATTAACAAGGTACCTCTGCCCAGTGGGTGGGGGGGTTAAAGGGTTACTCAGAATCCAAATTTAGGGTGTTCCATCYATGGCTTGACAATTCCTCTGTGGTCATGAGCTTCTTTCTTACAGAAAATACCAGTGCCTGGCTGGAGAACGGTGCTGGATGTTGAGTTGAACTTACCCGCTTTTACCTTTTGTCTGTCTGCTGTTAATACTCAGAACGAATCCCCAGAGTGACCTCAGTCACCMGTGTCCTGCCTTTCACCTCTGTAAGTCATGTAATTATTCTGACTTCCTGGGACCAGAGATGGGATTTTGAAAGTCTATTACCTTACATAAAAYTCCCCTTCCTCAAGAGGTTAAGACTTCTGAGTTTTAAAACAATAGGGATGCATTCTGGTGAAATATTTAATTGATAATGTTAACTTGCATAGCAAGGTAGGGTGCTAAGCCTTTTTGTTTTCTGATTGAATCCTCTGGAAGACTCAGTCCTATGGCAGAGGAATTCTGGGTTCCCAGAATTCCCCTCCTCAGGAAGCAAGGGTCAGACATTCCCGAGTGGATACCCTAACAGCAGGCTGGGACTAGGAAAGGGGAGGAGAAGGAGGTTCTTTATGCCTGGCTCTCTGTTAACACATTGCTGCTAAAATGTTTTCACCAGTACGTACCTGTCTCATATCTACGAAGAATTCCAGAATTTACAGGCTCCTGATGCTCTGCTGCACTGTGTGCGCTCTGCTCGGTACAAAACAGTTTCCTCACAACCTGTTAATATTATTGCTCACAGCTTACTCATTATTGCCACTTGCAGTTATTAAAAAAGTACACAATCAGAATACGAGTTCCCTCTTCCATCAAATCTAATCCATAGTAGAACGAAATAGTTTTTCTYTGCTTGACTGTAAAGAGCTAATCCCAATGTATTGCCTCTGCATTTTCACCTATTTAAAAATATATATTCATGTCCATTTAAAGCAACCTTCTAGTGTCATAAGCCTGTCCCAGTACATATCATTAGTGCATCTGTGGTGGCCTTTGGGAAATCCTACTGYCTAGTGCCTTAGAAAACTTTTGTCTTGAATTGTCATCACACTCCCGCTGGCAGGTGCCTGGCTAAGAGTGAGGGTTATTCCACGGGGTGCTGGAAACCCACAAACCTGCCCCTGGCTCAGAACAGCCATTTGGGAACATCCTCTGGGTCAGTGCCATTCTCTGCCCTGTCCCTTCCTCCTCCTCCAGTACAATTCACGGCTGTGCCTGGTCATCACGTACATGTAAACTCTGGAGCATTTGGAGGGGTCTGAGCTGCCACCCGTGCTCAAAGTGAATGTAACAGAACACATTCTGCRAAGAGAGGAGAAAGAGCTGCCCCTGCCACAGGACAGGGAGCAGCTGTAATAGGATTTAGCAGTGTAGTGCAGGATGGTCTAACAACCATCTTCCATTCAATACACACCACTTAAATTATGAGCTTGTGCTTTTCCAGGAGTCAGGGGAAGGGAGTAAAATTTTCAGTGCCTTTTAGCTAGAAGGGATGAATGCAGCCTGAYTCCACCTAGCCCATTTTAAAAGATTTTTGTGAATTGCGTGCATCCCAACTCCTGTTTTAGTAGTGATGTCAATTCTCTGCTTACTCAGGAAAGCTGCAAATAAGGGAGACTCAAACTTCTCACAGAAACAGGGTAGGTGAGGGGATGTGGATGGAGCAGAGGAAAAAATAAAAAATCCCAAACAAAACCAAAGAGCTTAAAACAGCTTTAAGTGCATGTAAACATATTTATACAACTCAAAAGAAAAAAAAAAAAAAAAGGGTTTAAATGTGTCGGTCTGTAGCTCTAAGAATGCTCCTCTCTCCCACCAGGGAATAAGGTGGAGTTGGCTCGTAGGCAGTGACTCTACTGACCCCACGCCCGTGTTCAGTCAGGTTGCCAGGATGCTTCTGCGAATAATGTCCGTCCTCCTGCTGATGGTGCTGTTGGGACTGAGCCTCTGCTGCCTGCACTTCTTTTCAGCCACCTCAGTCTCCGAGTCACTCATTTCAGCGTCGGGCACGTACCCATCGTTCTCGCTGTCGGGCTTTAACTTGCTCCTTGTCCGCTCCTTGGCTGCAACTCTGCCCACACCCAGGAAAGGGTAGCCAGAGTTCTGCCTGCAGGCCTCCTCCAGGCTCTCCCCCTGCTGTTGCCTCTCCCCCTTCTTTGGAATTCGGAATCCGCCCCAGTTTTTCCCCGGGCTGGTGGGTGTCGTAGGCACTTTAACTACMGTCTGGTGAGAGTTCACTTTGACAAGACCCCCGTTACATTTAGGCACTATATCCCTCCGAGTGCCAGGCGCTGACCTACCACTGGAGTGGTTCACAGCCCTTTTGTTTTCTGATTGCCTCTGAGAGAGCTCCGTGGGCCTCAGCGGTTTGTGGTTGTGTTTGGAAGTCTTTTCCTTCAGTTCTGCCTTCACCACCTCGCACTGTGGGCGCTCATCTCTCCTTTTCCTGTGCTCTGCTATAACGATGCCGTTTTTCTGCTGCACAATCCGTGTCTCGGCGAAGGTCTTGTCRAAAGTTAAAAAGCTGCCCGGAGCTGCACCTCCTTCCCTGGGGCTGGGCTGCCTCAGTAAGGATTTGCTGCCAGACCTGTCTCTTACCCTGTCTCTCTTGTGCGGTTTTTTCAAGGAGTGGGCCAGGGATGTGCCCATCTGCTTCCTGAAGAACGCAGAATGCCACTTCAGATCCTCGATCTTGGGGGCGTTGGGGCCCAGCGATGGGCTGTTGAACAACACCGTGTTTTCCATGGAGGAGAACGAGGAAGGCACACCTGAATGGAAGAAAATGAAGCTCAAGTCAAGCAATTCCCTAGCTCTGTAAATACCAGTTTTGAGTGTACCTGTTTTAGCTCAGTTCCTCATGCCAGACGTGTTCATATCAGAAATGGGTATCTGGCTGCCTGTCCTGCACTGTTCGTTCACAACTCTGTGGATATGTCATGGTTTCACAACATCTTGCTGGTGGGGTTTTATCTTCCTGCACCTATACCTAATTACACTTGTAGCAAATACAATTTCTAGCACCACTCTATCCACTAAGACAGAGAGGGAGGCAAAAAGCAACAAGTGGATCTCACTGATGCCACCTAAAATATGGTTTGTTAGTTACTCCATAGTTTAAGGATGATCTTGTCACTGCAGTTAATTTTGACGGTTTTCATCCTTCTGAGGAATGACATGAGARCAAATGAGGTCCTGTCTGTCCTTCACAGCCTGTAACCAAACCTTGTGCCTATGGGCTAACACGAAAAAGAGAACTCTGAGGCATACCTGAAACTCTTTCTTGTTCCAACTGCTTTATRTAGCTATTAAATATCTGTTCTTGAACTTTGCACACAGATCTCTTGATCTTTTCTCTCCGCGTCACCATGTACGTGAGGTTACGCACCTGGAAGACAGCAAGGGGATGGGTTTTACAGGAATTGTGTTTCTGGGATGTTGCCCTACCTGCACTTTGAATTCCTTCCGATGGAGGAACATTTAAACAAGTCAGTAGTAACATTTTGACATCACACTTAGAAACGGAAAGGATACACACAGAATAATTTAAGATCCAGAGAACATGATTATAAACTAATTATTTAGCTGATCAAAGAGAAGATGATAAGAAACCTTGAGCACACGGAACAGGAACAAAAGACCCCAAGAAACAGCTAGAATCTGGGCCATCTGAAGAGCTAGAGGAGGGCCATGGGCTGCAGTTAAAACTAGGAAAAAAAAAACGAAAGAAAAACTGCAGCAATTCAACAGAAGAGAATTAGGCATCATGATCCCTTACGAAGGATGCAGTACATGCCTGAGCACCTGCTGTCCTGATTTAAAGATTAGAAAGCATTATGGAAAGAAGGCTCTGGTTCACCTACAGGCTACTGAGGTAGGACCTCCTGAGCCAGCTTTCATCCACGGCCTACATGAGCCATATGCTGTAGGGACGTAAAACACTGATTTCAGTGCTCTTTCTGGCTCTAAGAGCTCCTAAATTCTACTAAAAAACCCAAAAATAAAGGAACTCAGGATCAGATGTACTCCTTAAAACACCAAGCTGATCCTACTGCACTGTTCTTGAAATATTCAAAACCTAAATAAATCAAACATCCTTTGCCTCCCAAACCTGCACAGACAGTCCAGGGAAATATCACCCTACTCTGCTATGCCAATGAAAAACAGATATGCTGAGAATCAAGGTTAAATTTCATGATCTCTTCCAACAGATTAAAGGAGCAAGGTAAGTTTCACAATCTTTTCCACCAGATGAAAGGAGCCTAGGAAGCCCTTAAAGGCTAAAAAGGYTGCAGTACAGTCCACAGCCATCAGAAAAAAAACGCAAGGGAAAACACAGCAGTCCTTGCAGGCTTTTGAATGCTCCCAGCCAAGACCTGCCTGCTGTGTGCAGAGGGGAAGTGCTGTGCTCTGGAGAAATACAGTGTTCATGGTCTCTCCTGGCAGCACAGCTCTGAGCTGAGATGCAGCTCAGGGTTTGGGAACTCAGCAGTGCYGGCACTTACCCGCTCCAGGTCCTGCCGGAGGTGCGTGAAGAGCTGCAGCCTCCTGAACAGAACGTCCTGCTCCCGTTTAGCCAGATTGTCCTCTTCATCCTTCTTTGGGGTAATCAAAGGCTTATTGAAGTTGGATTTCCTCTTCAGCTTCCAGTACTGGTAAAGGAATTCCACCGGCTCCTCGGGCAGCCGCAGCACTTTGGCCACTTCCAAAGACTCCACGAAGGTGTAGAACTCGTCCTCCAGCTGCTGGAGCTTTTGCTTGCGGAGGCTGACCCTGTGGGCCTCCTCCTGGTTCTGATCCATGCTGTGGAAAGGGTCGATGTGGGCAGGARGAGAGCTGTCCTGAATGCCATTGCTGTTCTCCTGACCTGGGCTCTCGTTCAAAGGTTCAGCATCTGCTTTCTTGGTGGAGCTGTGCTTGGGGCAGTAGGAYTTGAACTTCACCTCGTCGTTCTCTGCCAAGATGGTTTTCATCTCCAAGCCGCGGTCGAACGCGCAGGTGACGTGAAAGGCCGTTCTGCAGTTCTTCACTGAACACTGGAGAAAGTGAATGAAAATCAATCAAATCAATAGAAAGTTAAGAAGCCACACTGCCTAAAACTATTTGAGCAGTCAGGGCTGCTTTGGAAGAAGAAATCTGTCACCACGCTCTGCCTTTAAGCTGCATGTACTTCCCTGCTCTCTTTAATCAGGGTTATGACTTAGAGCTCTCAGGCCAGGCAAGGATCAAGTGGCCCAGAGGGACAGGAGAGGTTAACCCTTCTCATTAACCCCCCTCCAGTCCCACCACACTATTCCATACCCAAAAAGCCCCAAGAGGAACRTTCCTACTGACATCAGAGCCATTTGTGTACGGCACCGTTACTAAAGGAAAGTGTTCCCCTTTGGACTGTGCCAGCATGAGGGGGGGAAAAAACAYTGTGGTGGCTCCAGGCCAGTCTGAGACTTTTAATTAAAACTCTTTCCCAGCACCTGGACCCATGCTAGCCAAAAGACCTCAGCTGAGGGGAATTTTTTTTTCCCATATCCCAGTTTTATAATGTCAAATATTAAATCACTGTCAACCACTGCTTCACTGAGTGCAGCCTTCACTTCACCTGGGAGAACAGGAAATTCAAATGTTGTAGTTTTTTTTCCCTCTCAGTGAACCCAGCCATCATTAGTAGTTCAGCTGATTTAGCACTTCATTTCCATCATACCTAACTTCCTTTTGCAAAATGCTGCCATAGACACCACCAGCCACCAACTGAGAGGTTWAAACATATATAAACATGGATATATACACAAACACACATACATTTGTGTTTGTATCCACTCACACCTCTGGTGAACAGATTTTAAAGTGGAAATGAGCATTAGTGCTCCTAACTAGGAAACAAAATTATGCTTCACCCAAGCCACCGACCCTGAAAGAGCAACACACTGCACTGGGATGTTTGTACAGCGCTTTGTAAAGAAGCCAAATCTCTCTCTCCTCTGGGTTTTCCTGCTCAGGTTGACTCAGCAGCCAGATGGCTTATAAAAGTACAGCAGGGTTTAAACTGCACACGTTTCAAATGAGCAGTCTTTAATAAAACCAGCATAGAAAAGGAATTCAAAAATGCCAAAGCATCTTTTGCCCTTTCCTCTCTTACTAACAAACAGGCCAGGAGCATCCCACCTGGAACACCGAGCAGCAGAGAGAAGTGCTTTAGCCCTCATTAGCTCTTCCTGCARCTCATGTTTTATTGGGAGAAGAGGRAAAGCCTGTCTCATCGGGAGGAAATCAGCTCAGCCTGGGAGAATACACAGTCCTGTTTTTCCCAGCTATTCCCTGAGCAGCCTCATAGACACTTCCAGCTGCCCCTTTTCCCAGTTATTGTGCACATATCACAAGGTGGTCTGAAGGATGGACAATACAGTTYCAGCTATGTAACAGCAGCCTAGAGGAAGGGGGACAGCTCTGCAAGGAGGGATCATGGCTGCAAATTTATGTGCTGTGGACAGATTTATTTTCTCTAGTTAACATTTACTATTTCATCCATTCCTTACACGGAAGTGGACTGTGCTGGGTTTCACTGGAGCTACTGCTGCCTTGCTGYTTTACAGCTCTTCCTGGCAGCCTCATCAGATGACAGGAGAAAAGGGTAATGGATGTAAAATAATTTCAAAGCAGAGTAGGACTTGAGCAATTTTTGTGTCTTAATGCTGGTCTGACCACCACGGATCCTGTAACACCAGGCTAGCCCCAAAGAAAGAGCTCTACTTCAGCTTCTTCATGAGACTGTATCTCAGGGAGCTTTATGAGGATTGTTTTGCTGCTAGAAGTGCTCTGAGGAGGAGGAGCACCCCCACAACACCAAGCTAAGTCTTACTGTCTTTTTCCACACAATCACAACACTGCCCCAAATGGGTCACCTGTCCTTACACTCCCCCTCATCATCTGTTCTCTTATAATGGAGATCAAAGTCTTGCCTGCTGTCTGAGGAAACAAAGTACCTCCTCTTTCAAAAAACTGAAGCTTGGTTATGTGTTTTCTCAGTCTTTCTAGATTTTAAAATCTTTCTTAAAAGGTTTATTTTAAGACTCCTGAGTGATTTTCCACCGTAAAGGATCTCCAGGTGCCTTACAGTTAACAACCCAATATAAACCTGCATGTGGAACAACACTGGCCAGTCTGAAATGCTCTGGTGCAGTTCAGTTCAGTTGAGCCCACAGTAACAAACAGTAAACACATTTTGTCATCTACTAAAAACTGACAAAAGAAAACACATGGGTATTTGTGTGGTTAAATTACCTGTATTGAAGCTCCAACTTTTTCATTGCAAAGGCTGCACACCAGTGCCCACCTACTGCTGGGAATGTGGGAAACTTTTGTGATGGGCTCCATTTTTTCAGGGCTTCCAATGCTCACCTAAGAGAAARATGGTCAAAAAGTGGAGTGACTGTRGCACTKTTAACTAAAAAGACAAACAATAATTKTATCAAAGAAGTCAAATTCCTTGTGTGCATACACAAACTTAGTGCATCCCAAATTCTTCTGTTTAATAAGAAGCTAAAATTCTTTTTCAAAAAAATCAGCTTCTCTCTTTGTGGACAAGCAAGTCTCAAGGTGAAGCTCACCTATTTAAGATTATCATTCAGGATGAACATTTGACTACGAGAACCCACAGGAATTCTGTCACMATCAAACCTTCCCGATTCACCTGTAATGTTCTGTTTACAAAGTGAACTGGTATCTTGTGTCCTTGTTAAGGACAAGARGCCTCATTTTCCAAGGCCTAATGCTGACTGACAAAGGGAACACAGTTGGCTTCTTTCAGGTGAAGCATCACCCCCCGCCAGAGCTTTTATCAAACCAAAAATCTTTCATACTGCATTTCTAAGTTGAGCAACACCTTTAAGAGGTCTTTTCCTCCCCAAGACCCCTGGAAGCAGCACCCACCTCCGGAATCCAGAGAGCACAGCTGACGTGCACCCACTTGGTGCCACTTCGGGTGGGTTTCATGGCGCCGCCCTTCTTGGGGCACAGGAGACACTTGGGCTGCACGCCCAGCGCGCACGTCCGGCACAGCCAGCTGCCCTCRGGCACCTTCAGGATCCCGTAGCATGCCTGCATCCCCACGGGCAGCACAGGCAAAGGAAACAAAGCAAACATCATCTTGGTTCTCAGTTTACACACTGCATCTCACAACTCGCAGAATTATTTCGTTTAGTTTCTCCTGGCAGGACAGCAATTCATTTAGATTGCATTTTTCAGAGCCCTCTATCCAAATTACCAGCTTTAATGCACTTAAGTTTCAGGTTTGATGTGATCAGAGAAACACTACATCTCTGAAAACATCAGCTTTACTCTGCCTATCTTCTGGGATAGCCCCCTGGGCATTACAGCTGTCACAGGCCCAGTTCTTCATCATTAGTACAAAAGAAGTTAAGTAACACATAGCAGGAACGTGTTTCCTGCTCACCACACAAGTTTTCCAAACACTGAATGACAAGAGAAATGTGTTAAAGCTGGGAAGCGAGGACAGGCTGATAGGAAGGCACCTGCCACAGTAAGAAGAATCCACAGAAACAAATAAGCTAAAATTGTATCTCTTCTTTCAGGTAAAGAAACTTCCTATCCACCACACAAAGGTGACACATAGTAGTGTTTCCTTGGCATGGTTCAGTAAATTCTCTGTAAAATTACCTGTAATAAATCTCATTTGTGTCCCTATTTTTTTTTGAAGTTTCTGTGACCACGCCACACCCTCCTGCTGCCATACCTGGTGCACACAAATATTGCATTTGTCACAGAACACCATCTCATTGCCATCCTCTCCATCTGGGGACTGACAGACATCACACACGACGTCCTCATCGTATTCAATGCCAAGCCCCTCCTCCGTCTCAATGGCGTGGTTCATGTTATCGTAGCAGCGCTGTTCAAACTCCTCCATCACCCTCTCCATGGTGTACTCATCCAGCTCATGCATCCCTGGAAAACAGGAGTTGTTCACTCAGTTGAAGAAAAGTGAGATAATAACTCCACCTTCTCTTTGAACAGCTGAGCAGACACAGCCAATCCCCACAGGGACACCTTTCAATCCTAGACAATCACCCCTATTCCAGCACAAACTAGGGAAACTGTAAAAAAAAAAAAGTCAAAGCTGTCTTGTAACTGTATTAAACTAAAAAATGGAATATCCAAATCTTTTAATTTCTGAGAAGAACTTTGATTTTGGCTTCCTGGTCTTGTTCTCGTATTTTCTTTCTGGGATAGCACCATCTATCTTTATTCCAATGCCAATAAAGGCTGCCAATTCTGCCAACCCAGATGTTGACTCTTTGGTGAAAGATTTGAAAGTATTTTGAACCAAAAGTGATCGAGCAGGGGGAGAAAATCAATGACAAAATTTGCTATGATATTTGGAGCAAATTGCAGTTTCTAGCAACAGTTGTTGGTTTATCTCAAGTTCCAACCCAGCAGGGTGCAACCCCAACTGAGGTCTCCATCACACCCTGCTACACAAATGAATTAATTTGTTGAACTTGTATGTTAAGAACAGGTTAATAATTAAAAATAGAATAAAATAATAGTGGTAAATTGTAATAATAATGAAAATAAAAAGGGGGAAAACAAGTGACACAGAAATTGCTCACAACCTGCTGGCTGATGTCAGACCCCCACTCCCTGAACCCAGACTGACCCCTCCTTTCAGGGMAAACACAGCACTTYTAACAGCTACTGASCARAAATTAACTCARTCCCAGCTGAAACCAGGACAGATATAGAGTTGACAACCTCACAACAGGTGTTTTAACAGGAAAACTCTCCTTTCAGCTCCTCCTGTGAAAAACTGAGCCAACAATTCCACACAACAAAGAATAAAAAACCTCTCTAGGTCCTCCAGATCAGAAGACAAACACTCCATAAAAGTACTTCCAGCTTCCCTTACCAAAGGTCTAACCTTGCAGCAGAGATCAATGCATCCCMTACTACCCAAACTGAGCAGCTGAAAAGCAGCAAGAGGGAACATCTAGAAAAAAGGCCTGGGTAAGAGACCACATSAAGGCATCATCTGTTTCTTTCATGTGTTGGTTTAAAAGGGAGAAATGGAGTCATAAATGGTCATTTTGTGGTTCACCAGCTCTTTGGCCATGCCACCTCTGGGCTACAGCCAGGTAAAACACGTTTGACTAAACTGCAACCCAAAGCAGGGAACTGCCACAATGYTCAAACAAAAACCAGAAGTGTTCACCAATATGTCCAAGCCTCTTCCATCTGGCACAGCACCTTTTCCCTCATCCAAACAATGAGGTAGAAGTTCCGTGCTGACTTTACATCCTGTTCAGTTCCACTGAAATCTTCTTCTGAAACCCTCTCCTTACCAAAGAAACATTCCAATTCACCACTCTTCCCTGTCCTTTACCACACACAGCCCATTCTGCAGAAAAGGGAACAGCTGTGACAGCTCCTCCTCCTGCTCTGGAACCAGAGCACAGTCCCAGAGAGAGATTTGGGAGCTTCCTCCAATAAATCACTGCAGGAATTCCTCACTGTCCCATTCCCTGGCGTAGGTTCTCTAAATCTCCAAAACAACCTTGGCTTGCCTTCTCCACACTGAACACCATGAGCTAAAATGATGCCACAGATTTGTGATGAACAGAAAAATAATTAAATTGGACTACCTAGAAAAATCACCTGAGTGGTCTACGTGATGTTTTCTTTGAGAACCAAATGGCAAACTGGGAATTTTTTAAGATAGAAAGCAGCACAGAAAAAAAAAAAAAACAAAACACGTGAACAGATTCTGACCAACTCTGAGCAGATACAACACAGGAGTTAGGAGGACATTTATCTGAGGGTTTAATCACACCAGGTCTGCTTTGAGGACAACACAGCAGACACAACACAGGAGTTAGGAGGGCATCTATCTGAGGGTTTAATCACACCAGGCCTGCTTTCCCATGGCTACCTCAACTCGCATGATTACCACCTTCTCACACCTCTACTATTTCTTCCCTGAAATTATTCTTAAAATTGCCARCTTTAAAAAAATAAATAAAAAAGGCAACAAATCAGTCATTGCTCACCCATTTCTTTGAATTCTTCATTGGCAAGTTGCAGCCAGGCCACGTCCACATCRTTGAGGTCATAGCGACACATGCTGTCCGCCAGCGTGCGGATGTCGACGTAGCCCAGCTCGGGAGGCTCAGCGCCCGAGGACACGATGTACTTCCTGGGACGAGTGAAGGTGACAGCCTTGGTGTCCCACACAACCCTGGAACAGACACACAGGCACCATCAGGGCTGCTGAGAGGTTCATCTCTAGACAGCTCAAAATGATTTATTCTAAGGGACTGACAGCCATCTAACCATCCCAGCAATCACTCAGCACCAGAGATGGGAAAACACCAATCCATGCACTTCCATAACACAATGGTGGCATTATAAGAACTTGAGTCGTCTAGAAATCCAATTGTCAGAATTATAAATGAATTTAAATAATAGAGGACAAAACTGTGCTACTCTTACCTGAAATTCACATTAATTTCAAGCTAAAGTAGGAACACTGTATTTACATAGTGGCTGCCATATACAGAGACTTTAAACTCTGGTTTGAGTCTGCTTTTGAATCAATCTGTTTAASTAAAATACTGACAACAAAGAACATTCAGGGAAAAAAGAAGTATTTCCAGCTGTCTCAGCAGAGGACATGGCCCCTTCTCTTAGTTAAGATCACARRCTGAAATWYRGTTTGGATRGAACCCAYTTSACCACACASCCCTGGCACCTCMAGCTCTCTGCTGGGARCAGCYKAAGCTCCACAAGAAGCAGGATATCYTCCAYCCTCTGTGCTATTTTGCCCCCATCTGAAGMCCAGAGTATTAATCTGCCACTACTGCAATTGCACAAACAGATCTCAGTAAATCCTCCATGTATTTCAGTTTTCAGCACATCCCCAAAGCTTTCCCGCTTCTGGCTTCTTTCAGACAACAATCAGAAATGGTGAGCAAAAGCCAAGTGATGAATTTGGGGCTTCTGAGGTGATGTGAAAAAATACAAACGTGAATGACCTTGCCAGCCTAACTGCACTGCCCAAACTGTTTCTGGYCATACTGCACAGTATTAAAATGTTACAAACTAATGCATCTTCACAGACAATGTATTTTAAAGTGGGCACTGCTCTCCAAATCTCCTTTATCATAAATTCCTTCTAGAGTACCTCTCTGTGGAAATCATAACCTCTGGGCAGCACCCTGCCACAGTAGTGGCACAGAAGAAACGAGCACAGTGACTCTAACCTCAAAACAACTCCCTTTCTTGGCTTTATTTTTGTGTTAGAAAGAAATAAATAAAAAAGGCAACCCTTACTACACACTGACAAGCATTCAGCTGGATTGTCCACCTGACCACATGCTTGCAACAGCCTCACTCCTTTCTCCTGCCCTGTCCAAACCTTTTATTTGTTGCTCCTCTGCCCTGCCCTGTCTATATCTTTTATTTGTTGTTATCTTCCTTACCAGCATCAGCTCCCTGTACAGCCTTGCATTCTATCCTACAACATCTATGGTTTATTTATTGTCTATTCAGTGTGCAGAACACCCTCCCTTCCCTCCCAAAGTCAGGCAMAGAGCAGTTCCTGCACTCCAGCTGCACCACAGCAGGGCTCTGTGAGTGTCCCGTGCAGGAGAAAAGGGGACAATGATCAGGCATCAGAGGCCACTGTGACCAGCAGGTGCTCASCAGCTCACAAGGAGTGATGCCTGCCAATACACTGGAGATGCCTTCTTTTCCTATCTTCTAACATCCTAAATTTAGAGCAAAATCTCTATTGGCCTTTGGCAGAGAAAAGCTCTCTCCTAAGTGAGTGCCTGGACCTGCTACAGCCACCAAATAACCTCTCTGACAGATACAGAGAGATTTTTTTCTCTGCTCAGAGGTGCCCTGGCCCTCCCACAGCCTTGGGAAATGCTAAACAGAGAAATCAGTGAGAAGCAGGCAGCATGAGTGCTCATGTACTCTGTGTCTGTCTCTGCAGGGACAGGCTGAGGTCAGTGTGAGCAGGGAAAAGGTGCTTTCCCATGTTCTCCAAAAACTGCAGAGAGTAAAATGCCAGGTTGTCCTTGGAGTTTGGGGTCCAATCCTTCAGAGAAATGAAGGACAGGGTTCACCTGGTGTGCAGGGAAGTTCCTCACTGCACAGACCCAGTGGGGCACTCTGCACAGAACAAAAACAAACTCCCCTGTGGTTCCCCTAAGCCAAGGCTAAAGCTGACACTCAGCTGACTAAACTCAGACCTAACAAGAAGCAGTGGAGCACCATCACGATTTTTTTTGCTTTGTATCAAGGATGGAGCTGTTCTGGTCCCAGCAGCACTGCTGGGTTGTTTGGTAATGCCTTATGGGCCAGCCTGACTGACTCAAAGAGATCTACAAGGATTAAATGGCAAAAATCCTTGTTCTTATTTTCTCCAATCCCTAGTAAGCATGAAATGGGCTGCAGCACACTCCTGCCCTYAGAACTGCAGTGTTTAATTTGAAACAGGAAATAGTATCTAAGTGTAACAAACACAGCAAGGAAAATAAGGGGGTTTTGGATAAGAGCTGGAAAATCTCACATTATTTAGTTACATACACATCTGGATGGTTCTTAAAACAGACGAAATGTTGTACAATCAATTTCTTGGGTTAGTAAATGAAATCACAAAAAAAAAAAAAACAAACAAAAAGAAAATAAAATAAATGCTGTATTTTCTCTAGCCCTTAAGCCTGTTTTGTCGAAGTGTTCCTTGAAAGCAGCCTATGGTTTGGAAATCAGCAGAGAAAACACCAGACAAGGGCTCTTCCAGCAATGGTAAATGAGCTCAAGTCTGGCTTAAAAATAGAAGCTATTTTTAAGGCTCTCATCACACCCACGCTAATGTATTGCCAAAATCAGTTCTCTGACATTCTGATTTCACACGGGCAGAACAAGCCTGACTCTTGACCTCTCTGACCACTCTCAAAGGTGAGGCAGGCTGCTCTTYACCTCTGAGAACCAAGATTTTCCTAGCAGGGCACTGTGCAACAAAGCTCAGGAAGCCAAGGCAACACAGACATAAGCTGCTAGCACAAACGTGTGTGTATTTGTTCACAWTCCTGCAAATTATACCTGGCTACTGGTTCTGGGATGGTCCCTGGGCTAACTGGCACCTGAACTCCCTTTTCCCACTCCTGCCTCCAGGGATCTGCCAGCACATAGTATTCATCAGGGTTCAGCTGGAAGGAGTCATGTAACTTCATGGCAGTGATCAGGTCCGTTCTGAACACCTGCAAAGAGAGTGACCAAGAGAGAAAAAAAATAGAGACACTGACATTCGATATTGACACTCTACATTCACAGCTTCAGGGTAACCTGACAGAAATCAGGTCACTGTACCACCAGTGCCCCAGCCCAGCCCACTGCAGAATGGGAAGGAAAGGGGTGGCTGAAGGCACAAACAGTGACAGGAGTTAAACTTTCATCTGACTCCCCTACAGCTCCTGGCTCTCCTCCTGCACTGGAGACAAAATTCTAAAAGGTGTTACCCACTTGCACCTCAGTGTCAGCTGCAATAAAAGCTGCAGGGGCTCTGAGTCGTAAAACAGCAGCACAAGGAAGATTCATTTTTGCCCCAAGGCTTTTTGGATTTTTTCTTTTAAATTATTGGAGCTCTGACTCAGGAGAAGACATTCTAGAAATTCCCTGTGGTAGAAATCAAGGCGTGACTCCACCGTGACCAGCCACAAGAGGAAATTCTAAGGAAATGACTCTTTGTGCAAGTACTTAGAAAATATACCAAAAGACCAAACAAATAAGATCCAAACTGGAATTCTGGCAGCAGCTCCCTGTTCAGCACAGGTATTATTCAATCAGCTCCAGACACCTCTGTGTCACAGATGCAATTTCACTCTGCCCTTGCAAAGGCATCCAGCTCTGAAGCCAGCAGGATGTTTGGCAACCTTTGGGCTAGCAGCCACCAACAAGCAGCCATGCTGTCTTCAACAAGGCACAGAATGAAATAAAAAAGGCTTCMCTTCACTCCTGTGGCAGGCCTGCTGTGGCAGCTCCAGCCTGCTGGTGCCACAGAATGTCATGAGTGCTGCTATCACAGCCATCCCATTGCACTTGTGATGTGATTGATATCTAGCCCTTCCCACACTGCTCCCCACAAAAAGCATCCTCACCTCCTCGACACRAATTTATAACCATTCCATGCCTCAYTCAAGGCAAAGGGTTAAAAAGCTACCAGGTGACAAAATAGGCACCACCAGGACAGGGAGACAACAGGGAACATCTTAAAGAGCTTCCTGCACCCTTCTCAGTCCCACCAAGCCCCTGCTGCAGTTACAGAAGGAAATACTCTAGATTTTCAGGGCAGTGCTCCCAGATTCCCTTATGAAGCTGCAAAGGGGGCTCAGTGACCCATTCTCCCAGCCCCAAATCAATGGCCCCRCTGTCACCTCAGCCCCAGCCCAGTGCTCATGGCTGAGGCACAGCCAGGGGTACACAGAGCTAACCAGGCAGGACTCCCCAGGGCAGCCACTTCTGTCATCCACTGCTCACACACCCTGGGATTTTTGGGAAGTGTTTCAGTGTATCTCATGGCTAATTACATTCCTGAGAATATTTTCAAGTGTGATTTGCCTTACCACACTGCACATCTTGAAACCTTTCCTCACTCTGAACACACACACACTATCCCACTTCTGTCTGCTTATGTGTCTGTTTCTACCCTGCTTTTGTCATTAAAATAGCATAAAATYATGACATTGTTCTTAACACTTGTCTTGACATGTTCAGAAAAACTGCCAACATGAAAAAGTAAAGAAAAATATTACCGTGTGAAGAACAGGGTGAATGCTGGTAATGAAAYATGATAAAATGTTTTAAACAATTCAATTGCAAGTCCTGGGAGGCTTCAATCAAGAAATGAAAAGTAAGCCACAAAGTAAATGGGCTCACAAAACAAACAAGCACAGCTGGCCAGGGGATTCTGCGCTTTTAAGTGATTTGACTTCAAGCAATCAAAAGTCAAATTAAAAGAAGACTAAAAATATAAAATGGGACACAAAMCTCGCTCAATCTCTGAGCCAAAATAACTCGGGCTCTTGGATAAATTTGTCACAGAACTCCCTCAGAAGCAAAGCTAATGCAGCACCTGACAGCCAAGAAACTCCTTCCCAGGCCAATGGCCCCGTGACACCGTTCTTTCTGCTCTAACTGCTGATGCAATCTCAGTGCCTGGAGGAAAGCRGAGCTTCCAGAAGTGCTGGCTCTCAGAAGCACTGAACACTTCAAAGCTAAAGGGTGAAACCCTGGCCACGCTGAAGTCAATGGGAATTTTGCCACCAGCTTCAGTGAGCCCAGGATTTCACCCGGGGAGTTCACAGAGTGTCACTTGCCTGCCAGGGCACTTCTGGGAACYACAAGAGAAGCTCATGCAGACTGAGAAAACACTAGTGAACAGCACAAAATTGCAAAGATTCTGACAGCAAAAGCAAGGTGAGGGAGAGAAGAAAACAGAAGAAGAGCAGCAAGACTATTAATTATCTCAGATTATTTCTTGATAGCCTTTCACCAGGCAGCTCTCAAAAGCAGGTGTAAGGGATGCACAAAAGATAAYTAAGAAAAACAAGCCTATTGCTAGCTAGAATAAATTTACCAGGGATCTCCACATTCATTAAAAAAAAAAAAAGTCTTTAATAGTCAACAATCAAAGAAGTTTGGRAACCATAAGTAGCAGGTGTACTTCACACTGAACAATGAATGGGATTCTTGTGAAAAATCTTCCCGAGGCTCAGGTACACTGTCATTAGAGAGATTAATGAAGCACATTTTTCCTCAGCACCTCTCACTAATGTGTAAGAAATACACACTGGGCAAGTACAATAAATGAGAAATTCCATCTGCCAGACCTAACCCTTTCTTTGCAGCTTCTACAAAGTCTGCAGTGTAGCATTTTGCCTGAGGACAGGAAGATTCAGCAAGAACATTTCCAAASAAATAACAGCTGATCCATCCTGGAAAGTTCAAAGATTTCTATCTCCCCTGGTAGGATTTCTTCAAAGCACTACACAAGACAGAACTGTCAGGAAGCAGATTTCTAGTGTGACAAGCACTTTAGCAAAGATCACACACCAAGCACCAACACCAACTATGAAATAAATGCACCTAATGTAAATTTCCACTGTTCACAGATCAAGCTACAAATAAMCCCCCATGTCTAGAATAGCACAAGAGAGACTCTGCAGCTATGCTGAATGGGTGTCAAACTACAGACAGAAACTGGTGGTGGCAGGAGCTGTGCCAACAGCTGAACTCTCTAATCTTCAGGGGAGGGGGAGAGGGGAAGAAGGGGTGAGGGAGGCCAAATGTAGCAATAAAATTGCCAGCCAAAATGTAAGGGGAAAAAAAAGAAAGAAAATGTACATTGGAAGAATTGATCCATAACCAGGAAACACGTATGTATACATTGTGTGGACAGGTACATTGACAGATACAACAAAATGCAAATCAAATTCCAGAAATACCTCAGAAGGCTTCCGGTCTTCATCTCTGGARCACGAAGTCCGATGACGGCGAGATCTGGAATGCTGGGACCAAGTAGACAGACCTAGGATACAGAAATGATCATTTGCAGGCTTCTGTGACAAATGTCCAGGAAACTCCTTCAAAATGAACCAGAAAATAAAAGKCACTCAATCCTAAACTTTTGTGATCTCTCTCTCCTGGGTCTGTTTTGCTCCTCATTTCCTGACTGAGGTATTGGCTGCACTGCACTTACCTGCCTTCCACCCAGCATTTGAGAAAAGCCACTTCATCAAATCCTTCCCCTGAGCAGCACTAAATGATTTCCTGCAGATTAATAACTGACCAGGAGCRCTGCCAACAGCCTGGGATGCACTCTTTGAAGTTAATGTCCTAGATACCYACATTGGTCACCTGGTTCCTGCTGGAATGAGCCTCTGTAAAATGCAGCAYGCTGCCACACTCACACAGCAGAGCCCACGGAACAAGCTGTTGTCTCTTCTCCTGAGCAAATCTCCCCGTGTGGGAGATTTTTGTCTGCATAATTACTCACTGCATTCCAAACAAATTATACCTTTGTGCCTTCAAACCGTTTGACAGAGTCTCTGTCAGCTTTCAGAAATATTGTAACAGGAGGGAAGGGAAAAGAGAAAGAATCTGCACTCCTTTGACAAGATAGTGCTTTGACACTAGAATATATTATACCTGGGCAAATCAACTAATTTCAGCACAGTAAGATTTACAGCTACAGCAGCTATTTTCCACTGCCAGCCTCACAGCAGTCATGAAAAAAATAAAGCCAACAAATCCTTCTGGTTGCAGAGATGGAGGACTTGTAATAGGTCTATCTGATAAGGAAGCGAAGACCTATGAGCTCTGGAGGATGCACTCAGAATTTGCAAATTTTTTTTTTTTTTTTGTAAATTTAAATTGTAGACAAATGGAACCAAACAGATGCAAATGCCTTCCCACACTGCTCATTCCTTGACTGCCTATGCACAAACGTGGTGGGAGTAAAAAGGGTAAGGCTACAATCTGTAAGGGCAGCACCACCTCCTATCAGCCAGCAGAAACCTCCYGAGGATCAGAAAGCACTGTTCAAAAGCACAGGATGGGGTAAGTTCTCTATTAAAAACAAAAAAATAATTTTAGCAGTGAAGCAACTGTTCAAGACTTTCAYAGGAAAGGGATGACTGAATTATAAGTCATCAGAAGAATTCATTATGYTTTAGTTACCCGTTCATCTTCTCTTTTCAGTTAGTAATACATTAAGGAATCTGCCCCAATAAAAACTCCCTGGAACACAGCAATGAATAACAGACATTACACAGAATATGCATAATGGTCCAAAATGAAGCAATGTTAACASCAAGTAGCTAAAAATCTTATTTCCTGAGGTAAGAATACAGAAAATATTATTTTAAACGAATGCTAGTGTTTTAATATAAAAGATGCTGAAGTTATTGGCACTCTTCCTCCTTTCTATGAAGAGAAAAAAGGAAGAAAAAAAAGAAAAAAACAGTGACTGACTGCCATTTATTAATCCATGAGAAAAGTCAAGACTCCCAAAATCATTCAACTGCCATTCCATTTAAATGTTCCCTTGAAAAGTGGAGAAGAAACACAAGCAGRAGGATGAACTTCCTGTGAGGCTCCTATGAGCCCATGCCCAAACTCCATTTAAGGTCAGAAGAGAATAAATAAAATTCCTCAAAAGCTGTGAGATATACAGATCAAATGCGCAACAAAAAAGCCAAAAGACAAAAAAAAATCCCAGATTTTTTCCCTGCAATGTAGCAATGTAAATATTAACATTTTAACACTCAAACAGATGTGATTTCTTTAATCAACAGCCCCACCAGAAGACAGACTACATACATACCCACACAGATTAGTATTCAGTTCTCATGGGGTCTGATATTTTCCATTGGCAAGACATTAATATCTGACCAACTAGCTGCCACTGAGGTGTTCAGCCAGTTAAACTGCTGCACCAGCGAGCCAGCACTTGGAAATTTCCAGTTCAGTTGTGGATCTGAGTGGTTTTGTACACTGCTGGACCTGGGAGAGAGATCCTGCACACAAGATAAAGAATTGAGAACAACAAGCTGTACTGGAAAGGTGTGTGGGATTCAAGAGTCTGGGAGAGATGAGCTGGTGAGGCTGGAGGCTTTAAGGCAGTTGTTCCCAAGGAAGTCAAGCATCTGGCAAAATCAGTGTGGTGGCAGGGTGATGTACTTCTGGGTCTTTAGCAGGGTCCTTTAATTCAGCTTTTATGACAACTTATCATAAATTTAATTAAAAAGGAGTATGAGCTGCTGGTTTGGTTTTTTTTTTAATGCATTAACAGACAGATTTCCAGGTCTCTCTCACACCACGAAGAAGCTACAAAGGTGAGGAATAAAACAGTCCCTGCCCTATCATCCATCTCAGTTTCTTCATAGACATCAGAACGAGCATCTCAAATGCATAATTCTGTGTTCACGTACACAAGTGTGGTCACTGCACTAATTAACTATTCCATGTTATRCAAAAGGTTAACTATGMTCATCAAAATTACAGGAGCTTCACTTGAAATGATTTTTTAACTGCTGTAGGAAAGCRAACTGTAAAATTTCCAAGCCTAAGTGACAACCCAAACGCAGCCAGCCTCCCTCAGGATCTGCTCTAATGAGTGTTTTCTCCTCACCACCCTGAGTAAGGAAAGGAAAGCTTCTCAGGTAGTTCTGTAACAGCCGCTTCCTCACACACAAAATTGGAGAATTCACAGTGGAAACACTGTTACTGCAGAGGCTGCTGGATTTTTCTGAGCAGGGTAAACTTGACTGTACATAACACTCAGAGAAAACGGTGGAAGAATTCCTCATGGGACTGAGGTTTTCCTACACACTGCAGCTAATAGATGACCTTTGGCAAGGGCTTCACGTCAACAGAGAAAACATTTACTCACTGAATAAACAAAGCCTGACTGTAAGCCTTGAATTCATAGATTCAAACCAGCACCACTACTCAGACACCAAAGTAAGAAAGTGAAGGAGCCAGCTGAATGAGAGAAAAATATCCAGCCCAGTGRAGTATTGAATCTAGCTACTTTTGAAATCCTAAACATGAGTTTCAACTGTGCTTCCATCAAAGCTACTGGTAAAATATCACTGTCTTCACCAGTGTCAAGTCCAGGTCACAGAATTTCCCAAAGCTGCTCTCATTAACAAGCCATCCACCCACTCTACCCACACCAGTAAAAGCACAGGAGGAAAATTAAGGATGTTATTTGTCTAATAAGCATCCTTTCCATATTTTCATTCCTAATCCAGAAAAGGGACCTCACGGAAAGCAAAAATTCACAGCAATTACACCTACTTCAGTGGTTAATGGTCTGATTTGTACATCTGAGTGCACCAAGCAAGAACCACTCCTGGATTATACAGAAGGAAGAACTGGCTGCGGTCAAAACAAAACACAGGATTCRAAACAGCTCTTCTGTGCTATAAAAAGAAAATTAACCTAGTTCAGTTAATTTCGAAAGATTCCAGACACTTTTCACCAAAATCAYTGAGTATCCAAAAATCATTGTATTCATCAAGTTTTCTGAGTACTAGCCCTAGTCCCAAACTGGATTAGTCTTGGATCACCAAGACTAGAAAAACAGTTAAAGATCAAGACAAGAGTTAAACTCAGTTTTGGCAAAATAAAATTAAAATTTAAAAATCATAAGGGAAGTCTGAATTACTGGGATTTGGAAGATGTAAAAGTTCTGCAAAATAACATTATATACCTCATGGGAAGACTGAGTTTCACAGCAGATGGAAAGACAGAGAGATGTTAAGAGAGCCCATACTACCAAACACCATGTGAGAAATAGTAAATATCAAAAATACACAACTCCAAGGCATGAAGCCAAATAAATGCAATCAAAACATGCACTTCCATCCTCATTGGATATCAGAGATAAAAGGTATTTCATTAAGTGTTACATGATCATGGCAAGTTTAGGATAACCACAGCAGCCTAGTCAGCAACATCACTCTGAGAGGGAGATCAGGATCATTTGGATTCTTTGACAGTTTGGATTCTTCCAAGGTGTTCATGTGTTTTAAAAAGATTTCATCACTGAGAACAATGGCAGAGGGATGGTACTTTTATTACATGTTCTCAGTCTTCCTTTTGCATTTATCTCCTTACAGAGAAAAAGCAAAAAGAAATCCCAAACCATTAAAAATGTGTAATCCTCAGCAAGGGAGGCAGAGCTCTAACACACCACTGGCGCTGCAAAGGACTTCTCAGACTCAAATAGGAATTTTTTCTGTTCCCCAAGGCTGCTATGAACACTCTACACTGTAAATACAGTGTTTTTATAATACTGCCACAGGGTGTATGTAACACACATGCCTCCTGATAATAAAAGAAAGCAATCAAGGAGCGTGCATTCTTTTTCCCCACTTGTGAAGAGCACACGCTTCCCAAAAGGAAAAACTTAATCAATTTTAACGGCATCATTTTATTAAATGATCTGTCAAGAAAATGTTTTCATTCCCCCCAAAAAAATCCAATCAAAACAGAAAATTGCTTGGAACCAATAAAACAATTCAAGCCCTGAGGGAATTCCACAACTAATCCAGYGCTCAGCATGAGCAGAGAAGGCTCAGCTGTTGGGTACGGTGCAGCACTGTAAAGGCACCTGTAAGGCACCCAACTGTGTCCCTGGAGAAYGAGCTGCTGCTCCAGCCTTGAACACTTCAAAGGTTCAGATCACTGAAAACCCCTCTCCCCCCATAAATACACTCAGCACAGCAGAGCAAAGCAGCCCTGACACCGAGCAATGTCCTCCTGTCACTTCTGCTTAACACTGAGACCAACAAGGTGCTGCTGCCAACGCTGTCACAAACATCTGCAGCCTGAGGAGGAAACAGAGATGCTCAGATTCCCCATTTAGTGCCCTGGCCCACAACTGCTGACAGTAGGGGCAGATTCCTTCATGCCCAGAATCTAACTCCAGCACAGAGCAAACAATTCTATGGGCAGTTTCCATKACATCAGGGGCAGAAAGAGCAAGAAGTCCTCAGGCCCTATCACAGAGAAAGCAGC